CATAGCTGAGGGCCCTTTACAAGACAACCAGTTTCTACCAACACACCAGCTCTTGCCATTTTCAAATAATTTTTCTTGGCTTTTGTCTACCTGGAGGTGCCTACCAGTAGTCCTAGTTAAGCTGCATTCACCCAATTTCCTACAGAGTCCTCGGGCCGCCTAAGTCAATGAACAAACCCTATGTAACTCTCCAACTACACCATCATCTTGGACACCCAGGCGTTTCTCTTCCTGTCACATTTTCAGAGCTAAGCATTAAGTATGTACACATATAACCTCAATGGGCTAACTTGGCAAAATGATGCTTACAGCTGGGATCTGATTATGAAAACTCCTTGTATATCAGATCACTATCTCAGGACAAAGGTAACTGGGGCATAAAGGATTGAAGACTGAACCCAGGGCTTTACACATAATGCTGTGTTCTATTACTGAGAAACAACCTCTATACCAATAATTATTTTTAAAAAATATTTTAGTTAGACATCTTTATTTTAATGTGGTGCTGAGGATCGAACCCAGTGCCTCATGCATGCTAGGCAGGCACTCTACCTGAGCCAGGATCCCAGCCCCTAGATTTTTTTTTTTTGGTGTTAGGGATTGAACCCAGGGCCTTGTGCATGCAAGGCAAACACTCTACCAACTGAGCTATATATCCCCAGCTCCACCAATAATTTTTAATATTTATCTTTTAGTTGTAGTTGGGCACAATATTTATTTTTATGTGGTGCTAAGGATGGAACCCAGGGCATTGCACGTGCTAGGTGAATGACCACAATCCCAGCCCCCAATAAAGATCTGACCAGGTGTTCTTCATGAGGAAACCATGGGATTTTCAGTGTTGCTATAGACTGGCCTGAAGTCCTGGGCCCCAAGTGAATCTCCTGCCTTATCTCAAGTACCTGGGCCTATGGGTGCACACTATCACACCCAGTTCTCCCAAGTTTTTAATTTACAACCATTATTTTTCTTTCCATAATAACAGATCCTAATAACAGAAAGGCTTAGGTAACAGCCTGCCAAGTTTTCAGGTTATATGGCAGAAACCAGGGGTAGTGGTGCATGTCTGTAATCCTAGAGACTTGGGAAGATCTTAAGTGTAAGTCCAGCCTGGGCAACTCAGTCATATCCCATCACAAAATAAAAAGGAACAACAACTGGGAATGTAGCTCAGTGGTAGAGCACCCCTGAATTCTAGCACAAACAAAAACTGGCAGGAAGTGAAAAAGCCAAACGTACTGTTTTTCCTCGTCTAAGAGGTAGCAGCAGCAACAGCGCCCACCTTCTGGGCAGCTTCTTTCTTGGCATGATGAGCTTGTAGAACCGCCACAGCTTCATCCACCTATGAGAAATCTCCAGGTTGTCAGTGACTCAGGCAAGCCAGCTGGCCCCTCTCTGGTGCTCAGCCCACTGGCAGAATATAGATGATCCCTGGGCTTCTGGTGCTGACAGCTTACCCACTATTCATAGCAGCAGACCCAACCACAGGTAAAACATGTCAGGGGCCACAGACGCCTCTCTGTTACACATGGGTGTGCAAGTTCTCCCCACTCCCTAATCCTCCTAAGGGCTAAAGTCACAAGGTCTAAAGCAGCTCACCTTGGAGCGGAGAGACTCGGGGGACTCCAGCATGTGTAGCAGCTCAGAGTTATCAATCTCCAGCAGCATTCCTGTGATCTTTCCAGCCAGGTTTGAATGCATTGTTTGGATAAGTGGAAACAAGCGTTCGCCTGTGGGCAGGAGTTAATGAAATCTCAGCGGATAGATACTGGTATCAAGGGTTGATCACTCCTCTGCAAGAACATGGGACACTCACCCAGCATCTGCTTCTGTTCCTGGGGTGGTGCTGCAGCAAGCATGGAGGCGGTCAGGGGTTCTTGCCCCTGCACATGGACTGCAGGCTGGGGTGCCTGGAAACCAGGACGGGCAGCAGGTTAGCAAGAAGAAAAGGATGGATCATTCAACATCTTCTCTTCTAACTATGTGGAAGAGAAGTGGAGGGGTAGCTATCCTTATTCTCAAGGAAATTAGTTCCTTGAGAATCCTTAGGGATTTTTAGGGGTATGCTGAGGAACAGAATGTAAACATACAACCATCTTCAATGAAATGGCAAGATATCAGAAGGGAAACTGGGTGGGCACAATGGCAAATGCTTGTAATCCCAGAAGACATGGGAGGCTGAGACAGGATTCAAAGTTTGAGGCCAGTCCCAGTAACTTAGTGACAACCTGTCTCAAAATAAAAAGTTAAAAAAAAGGGAGTGGGGGGCTGGGTAGTCCAGTGGTACAACATCCTTGGGTTAGATTCCCAGTACAAAAAAAAAAAAACAAAAACAAAACAAAAAACCTATATAATGCCTACAATGCTAGGCAAGCTTGTGCTGATGTTTTGATTTACCCAGTTACCCCAAAATAAGGCCTTCTGATAAATCAGCCACAGCGAACATCTGGATAGCTTTTCCCTAAAAGTTCCCTTTAGAGACAATTCTGGTACAGACAGGGCCAAAGGGTGTGAATATAACATTTACACATAGCATCTTCATTATACTAGATATTTTTGTTGAATCAACAGCTTTGGGGACTATCAATATGGAACATTAATGCTAATCACAGCCCTAAAAATAGGGTCTTGTTGGCAAAAAAGACATTTTACTTGGAATTAAGCTCTGAGAAATCTTCAAGTTAGAGAATATGGGGAAGGAAGACAGCCAAAAGATCATCTGTCTACCAAGGAACTTTTAGGCCTGAAGGCTGAGTGTGGCCCCACCAGATAATTGCTACTGATGGCTGAAGCATGAGATTGCAAGTTCAAACCAGCCTTAGCAATTTAGTAAGACTCTCTTAAAAAACAGGTATGTGGCTCAATGTTTAAGTGTCCCTGAGTTCAATCCCAGGTACCCAAAACACTTGTGTCTTTGCTTATGTATTAAAGAGCATAGTTGTAGAAGTAGCAAATTTCAATTTAGGCAATCTAAGCTCTCACCCCTGTCCCTCAACCCCTTAATATATCTCTGAAACTGAATTATTTTTCTTTGAGATAAGGTCTTGCTCTGTTACCTAGGTTAATCTCACTCCTGGGTTTAAGTGATCTTCCAGCCTCAGCCCTTAGACTATAGGATCATGCCACCATGCCCAGCTAAAGTTGAATTTCTTTTCTATAAGTTGATGTTATTTCCTGCCTTAATATCTCAAAACTTTGCAGAACAGCCAAGGATCAAACAGGCCAGTGGATGAAAAAGTTATATGAAGGCTCAAGGACCTGAACAAGTGCAGGTATGTCACAAAAGGAGAGTAGGACTTCTAGCTACTAAGGAGGCTGAGGTGGGAAGATGACAAATTCAAGATCAGTCTAGGCACTCAGCAAGACCCTGTCTCAAAAAGGGCTGGTGATGAGTGCTTGCCTATTATACCCCAGATTCCATCCCCAGTGCTGCAAAGACATAAAAGCCAAAACCCAGAAAAGCACCAGTTTGCCTCCTATGGAGCTTTTCTGGGAAGAAGAATTTCAAGCCCTTTAGTGACACTATTCAAATCACCACACAGAATATACACCCTGCCACAGACTGGGCAATGTGATACCCACTGCATGAACCAAAGCCAAGCATCATTTTTTTATGTGTGGCGCTGGGGATCGAACCCAGGGCCTTGTGCATGAGAGGAAAGCACTCTACCAACTGAGCTATATCCCTAGCCCAAGCATCTTTTGAAAATCAAGGGAAAACGGGGAAAACACCTCCAGCACCATTTGGTGGGCCTCACCTGCAGAGGCTGTATGGCAGGGTGAGGGCTGCGGACGCTAGAGGCATACTTGTATGGTGCTACAGCCCGAGGAGCAGCAGCAGCAACTGCAGCACGTGGTGCAAGGTTTGGCACAGCTGTGGGAACACCTGTGGAAAGGACAATTACAATTAAAGCCCATCAGTCTGATCAAAGACCCGTCAAATCCCATCGTTCCCCCTTCTGTGTGCATCCAATACCACCTCCAGACTGGCAGCTGTCAGTCAGCCCTTGCTGGGCGGCACCAGCCCCACCAAAGTCCATAGCCAAGCGGTCCGGGCACTCAGACCCTACAACAGACCAGCAAATGCACATCAGTGTTGGCAGCAGATGTCCAACTGGCCACGTCCCACGGAAGGAGAAATTCCAAAGCATGATCACACGACACCACACATGGGGGCCACTACTGCTACTTTCAGGGTTGAGCCAAAGAATAACATACAACTCTATCCACATTTTGTAATGCAGGACTTACTCTGTAAAAAAGTTTCATTGTCCCCCCACCCTACTCTACCAAAAAACAGGCTCTCTCTCTGTAGTCATCCAGCTAGCAAACTTCTAAAATTAATCTTCTCATGAGTACCAATCAATAAAGAATGTTAAATGTAACCAGCACACCTAGAACTCACATTAGTTCTGTTCCTGAATCAAGTACCTACCTAAGCACACAGCTAAGATGACAGAACCAGGACTCAAAAAAACTTGAGCCCAACAAACTGACCAAGTGAAGGAAGAGCTAGCCATCCTGACTCCCTCCTCCCCAGGCCACTCTCCTATAGGCCAGTTTGCTCACCGACTCTCTGAGTGGTAGTAGGAAGGCCACGAGAGGCCGGAGCATTACCAGTTGGAGCCAGATGGCGAAGAGTTGGACGAGGCCCAGACTGACGTATAGCACTTGGCATTCCTTGGAAGCCTGGTGAGAAGATAAAAAGCGCTTACCACTGATAAGCAACAATGACCAAAAGCCAGGCTATGCCCTAGAAGGGACAAGTGCAAGAAAGGCAGGTAGACCAGGATAGACATGATATATTCTAGGTGACCAAATCACTGTTTTCTACCACCTACCTTGAGGTCTCCCACCTTGTTGCCAGCGTGGATTAGGCCTCATTTGTGCTAACTGGTTAGGTGTGTAATATGGAGGTCTTCCTTGAGCCTGTAAGGAAAAAGAGCACTAAGCCTTTTTATATTACAGGCCTGAACCAACATTAGAACAAAACAAAACAAAACCTCATCTCATTTTATCTCACCTTACGACTCAACCTTAGCCTATTATTTGGAATAAAGCCTACTCAAAGCCTGAAGGGTCATAGTTAGTGGGAGCAGTTTTACCCTACCTCTGCTACTGGGTGTATATGTGTATGACCATGGGTAAGTACTTTCTCATTTTATTTGAAGAGTCTTTATTGACTTCTGGAGTTCCAATATCCAAAATCCCCCAACTGAGTCAAATGTATGAAAGATGATATATCATGAGCTCTGTAATGTTTTGATTAAAAAAAAAAAAATCAAAAATCCCTTCTCTCCAACTACTGCAAACGGTCATGATCACAGGGCAGACCCACCTGTGGAACTGCTGGCACAAAGTAGCCACCAGCTGCAGGCTGGAACTGATTTAAGATGGCATTGGCAGGGAGTGCTCTCATCCCAGCTACCCGCTGCATATACTGGTTGGTCAGGTGAGCCTTTCTCTCTTCCTTCCTCTGGGCCAAGGCAACATATAGTGGCTTGGAGCCCACAATGCGTCCATTCATTTCAGTGACTGCTTTGGTTGCCTCTTCAGGAGATGAGAAGCAGACGAACCCAAACCCTTTGCTTCTTCCATCCTCCAGCATTACCTATAAATGAGACCAGCTACTAAGAAAAAGGTTTATGTATTGGGGATGAGGAGGGACAGCATCAACAGGCTCGTTCTTCACAATAGTCAAAAATCCTGGACTGTGCTGCTAAGTTACCATCTAAGCCAGAGTTCAACCCTGGCCCAGGATGTACCTAAAACCAACATCACAACTTAGGCTTTTTTTTTAAAAAACATCCTCAGGTAAGCTAAAGTTTCCCAACTACAATGTGGCTAATGGTAAAACTAGGAACCTAAACATGTTTCCTAATTCTATGAGACATCTTGACAATAGTGCTGAACAATTTATTTGTAGAATTCATCCAGTCCAAAACGGTGGACAAAACCTGAACAGGCTCACTTAGTTAGGAAAATGCTTTGAAATATCACATGTGGGCAATTATAAAACTCCCAGGTTACCAATGACTGCCACCTAATAGTGGCACTCAATGGGAATAACACAAAATTAGCTAGGAGTCGAACAGGGTTTCACTGAGTTGCTGAGGGCCTCGCTGAATTGCTGAGGCTAGCTTTGAATTCATGATCCTCCTGCCTTAGCCTCCCGAGCTGCGCTGCTGGGATTACAGGCATGAGTCATGGCACCAACTTGTTAGTATCAGTATCAGAGTTCACAGCATGGGGAGCCTCCCAAAGTGGAAGGCATGAAAGTTAAATGCATATATCAATCCCATACCTTTCTATCAATGAGGTGGGCAATAAGGTGTATATAAACAATGCCCTACTGTGATCTTGAAAATGGGGCCCCAGAACTAAAGACAGAATGCTTTTGCTTTTTACAATTGTCAATCTGCCTACTGTAGAGATAAGCAAGTAAAGACTATTTTGCCCTGCACTGATAGGGGACATTCAAGTGGGTGAGAGAAACCCAGAGTTGACCTTTATCAGCCTGTCTCACCTGAAGGACTTTGGGATCATAACCTGATGTAGATACTGTCCTGCCTGATAATAGATGCAGCAGATGACACAAACTCTCTTGTCACACTCCCAAAGTGCCAAGGACATGCCGCACACATCACCAGGTGGCCAACATTCTCTTGCTCAGAGACTCAATTTTTTTTAAATGGAAGTTTTAAAATATCAAGCAAATGATCCACATTATAAAACATGAAAAACCAAACTTTTCACTCCCTTTCCTTCTAAGTGAAACCACAGGAAAGTTCCCAACTCCAGCTCCAGAATCTTCAAAATACCTTCATCCTTAAGGAGAAAATGTGGCAGAGTTGTAGAGACAGGTCCCAAGACAAATGGAAAACAACCTGTCTGGATATCCTCTGCTCATAGTGTAGCACCATCTGTCCCCAGACCAGCACGAAGCAGCAGGAATGGGAAAGATCGGGTGCTTAAGGGCTAGAGAGAGTCATCACACTCCAGTGCTGGGAGACAGTGTAATATTAACCTAATAAAATGCCATTCTGCAGAGCATTATTCAGTTGGGTAACTGAAGGGGAAGAGGAGCTTGCTAGAATAATGTGATTGCTCTCTGAACTATCAACTCAATTGAGACTCTTCAATGAAACAAATGCCAACAAACCTGTAAGAGAATATTCCGCTCATCCCCTCAACTCTGTACTAGGGTTTGAATCCAGGATCTCATGCATATGCTGCAAAGGCTATGCCACTGAGCTACATCCCAGGAATACTCTGTATTCAGACCCCAAATCTCACACCAAAATACCTTAGCACTGGTGATTGATCCAAAAGGAGAAAACTCTTTCCTTAATTTCTCATCATCAATGGTGTCATCCAAGTTCTTAATGTAGAGATTCACCCCCTAAAGGAGAAGAATCATGTTATTGCACTTCTACATCACAGATTCTAAGACAGTGGTTTACAAATTGTGATCCCTTGACCCAGCAGCAGCATCTTGGGGAACTTGTTAGAAAAATGAAAATACTTGGGCCTAACCCTAAACCATGCATTAGGCTCCATAGTTAGAACCAAACAATCTGTGTTTTAACAAGTTCTGCAGATGATTCTGGTGCTAGCCCAAAGTGGAGAAATTATTTCCCTAAGACTTAATAGGCCCATCAATGCATTCACTTTTTATCCTTCCCCACAGGGCCTTTGGCTGACCACTTATCTCTCAGTGTTACTCTCTGCCATCATTCCAAAGGGCCATTTTTAAGGAGCCTACAGTTAAAAGCAGATAACTTTTCTGTGCTGGAGATCAAACAAAGTGCCTCACACATGGTAGGCAAATGCCCTACCACTGAGCTACATCCAAAAAATAACAAGCTGAGGCTTCTGAAGTAGAGAAGCCCCTGTTCAACAATTCTTGTCCCATCCGGTAGTTCCATATTCTTGAAGTGTAGACTCCAAGACCCCAAAGAGAGTCTGATAAAGCTGGCTTTACAAATATTGCATACTAAACATTTGTAGGCTGGTCCAACACCACCTCACCTGGTATCGACTAATTCTCTCCTGTTTGAGCTGCTCAAATTTCCTTTTTAATTCAGCCTGGCGTTCTACTTTCTTCTGTGCACGGCCTACGAATATGACTTTCCCGCTGATTTCTTTTCCATTCATCTCTTCCACAGCCTAGAAAGGAAATGCCCATCCTTAAAACAAAGTTGCAGAGGAAAAATGCCTTGCTGGGGAATGGTTTCTGTGTTTTCAAGTGGCACTAGGGATTGAACCCATGAACATTTTCCTGAGCTATATCCCCAGCCCTTTTTTGAGACAGAGTTTCACTAAATTGCTGAGGTTAGTTTTGAATTTGTGATTCTCTTGCCATAACCTCCCATGTAGTTGGAATTATAAGCTTGTACAATTGCTTGTGGCTATTTTGGAGATAATCAAGTCCACGTATTGAGAGAAAACCTTTCTTACAGGACTAAAATTAATTCCATCCCATTTTGAAGCCAGCTAAAGGAATCTAAATACCTCATTTGTTAAAAGAGGTTAATATCTAAGTGGTGGGTTATTGGTCCAGATAATATTTAGTGGGCGATGACAACACAGTAGTACAAATACAAGCATGGTGGCGATCACAGGTTGATATTCTGGTTGTCACTAAAAATTTCTCAGGTTCTTTTTTGGGCATTTATTGAAGTGATATATATGGAGAGCCTATCAAATTGCTTTGCTCCTAAGTAGCTGCTGTGCTGTAATCAGCTCAACTCTCTGGGTTTTAGTTTCCTCACCTAGAAATGGGAAAAAAAACACCTGCCTTATTTTTTCAAATGATATGCAAGTGCTTTATAACTAGGTAAACAATGTATAGGTAGAAACCCGAGATATCCTAGAGTACAATAGCTGAATTCAATTCATAGCTGCATTCAATTCACTGCTACTCAGAGGATTCCTGCTCTACAATGAGCTAAGCAACACCCTGTCCACACTCTGGATTCACCTCCTACAAATTCTTCCCAACCATTGTGGTACTCTCACCTTATTGGCATCTTCATGTTTTTCGTAACTCACAAAGCCAAAGCCTTTGGATTTTCCACTGGGATCTCTCATCACCTTCACACTTAAGGTCTTACCTGTTCCCCAAAAAACAGAACTATTAGTGAAACCCTCTAACTACAGCTTAAGGAGACAAAGCATCTCTCTAGGAACTTGAACCAAACCTTTGACTAAACCTAGATGGATCTAAGACAGAAAGAGACACCATGCCTCCTCTTCTAATTCTTTCTGACCTAGTAGCTAAGATGATTGTAGGGACAGAAGGAGAAAGGATAAAGCAAAGGCCTGGATCTATCTCTATCCACTTTATCACAGATAAGTGTTTTATTTCTGGGTCTGAGTGCTTTGTCTCTTAAGTAAACTTAAAATGATTCTAGGGCTGGTAGACTACCTAAAGGAACAAGTGGGGGCAAGGACCCCAACTTACCAAATTGGCTGAACAGCTCTTTTAGACTCTCATCATCTATTTCTTCCCCAAAGTTTTTGATATAAACATTGGTGAATTCCTTAGCTTTGGCTCCAAGTTCAGCTTCCCGCTCTTTTCGAGACTTGAATCTGCCCACAAACCTACAAAGAAACCATGAAAAATAGTGATCACCCAGGAGAAAAAAATATGGCTTCCTGGGGCCCAAAGGAATGCAGGTTAAAGGCTGACAGGAGAGGTTAAAACACATGAGGTCCCCATCCACCACCAAGAGAAGCTCAGAGATGTCCAAAGTCCCCAGCAGAAAGAGAAAGAGGCAGGACTACCCTGCAAGGACCAGCCCCAGGGCTCCTGGCTCAGACCAGGGCTACTCCTACCACATCATACTGCCTTCGTGAAGAAACCTGACGACCAGGTTTTAAAAACGTCATTTCTGTGCATCTATGTAAATGCATAGAAAAGGTCTGGAAGGACATAAACCAAACTGTTAACAGTGGTTAGTCTTAGGAGTGAGACTGTTGGAGCGAAGAGCAAACTTTGGTGGGATTTTTTTTGGCAGTACTGGAGACTGAACCCAGGGGAACTCTACAACTGAGCTATATCCACAGCCCTTTTTTTCTTTTAAAAAATGAGACAGTGACTTGCTAAGTTACCCAGGTTGGCCCAGAACCTGCAATCCTCCTGCCTCAGCCTTAAATTGCTGGGATTACGGGTATGTGTCACCACATCCAGCCAATCTTTTCTTTTTACTGCATTCATTTTGGTGTACTCAAAAAAAAAAAAAAAACTCTGTACAGAGACATTATAAACAACCAATCTTCTGGTCTATTCAACACCACAAAGGACAGAGACGACTTTCGCTTATAAGAGCCAAGGTGTATAGTCCCTTCTCTTCCCAGCATGGCTCTGAATCCCCTCTCCACATTCCACAGTAATAACCACACCAGAGCAACAAGATGTGTTATGAAGTGTCCACAAAGGAATGGGGTTTTTCTTTGTAACCAATTTAAGTATCACTGTGGAGCCAGCCTTATATTAGTCAGTCATAGGTTAAGAGAATGGAAAACTAGAAGGACAATTTGGCATCAACAACCAGAGACCCATGAACAGAACTGAGTCAAAGGACAGCCAAGGTCGCAAAGCTAGTATACAGCTCCTGGCCAGCCCAGGGCCCTCTCCACTCTGCTGCTGGCCAAGGCCCCTGCTCAGAGTGGGCTTAGAGCTGCCTTCCAGCCAGCCACAGTTGCTGATGCTCACAAAACCCACAGATGGATGCCTTTAAGGGAGAGGCGGCAGGCAGGCCATGGCTTGGGCAGGGAGCCCACCTTGGCGAGTCAAAAGAGCTGCCATGGCTCAGGCAGGGAGACTCACCAGCCCTGGAGTGGAGAGGTAGGAGCAGGCCACACTTGGGCCGAGAGAACCAGTAGCCGCCTTGTGTGTGCCAGTTAATACCGAGGTGGGGCCACGGCTGGCTCATGCGATGGTTGTTGCTCCAGACTGGGACACTCACACTTTGCGGTCATTGAGGAGCATGCCATTCATCTTCTCGATGGCCTTGTCGGCAGCCTCTTGGGTCTCGAAGTGGACAAAGGCATAACCCTTAGAGCCGTTCTCATCACACACTACCTGTGTCAAAAGAAAAGGCAGACCACTTTAGCACCACTCATCAGCTCCAGAGATGCTTGCATGGTCCAAGGCAGCCAACTCTATCAGCTGTGCTCTAACATTTAGCCCAGGACCAGGAACCTTGCATGTACACTACTCATAAATGGTTACTGCCAGTAGGCTGCTTCTGTTTCCAAATAATCTCTTGTTCACTTTTATTAGAAGAATTTTAGTTTTGTGTAGTGTCAAGCATATAAACCATCATTATGTATGTTTCACAAAGCACTCCACATAAACAGAAGGCAGGCACAGTAGTGTACACCTATACTCCCAGATTTGGGAGGCCAAGGGAAGATGACTGCAAATTTGAAACCAGCCTAGGTAATTTAGTGAACCCCTGTCTCAAAATAAAAATAAAGGCTGGAGACAGCCAGGCACAGTGGTATACATCTCCAAACCTACTGACTCAAGAGATGAGCCTGGGAAGCTCAATGAGCCCCTGTATCAAAGAGAAATAAAAAGGGCTGGGGATGCCAGGTGCAGTGGTGCATGCCTTTAATCCCAGTGGCTTGGGAGGCTGAGACAGGAGGATCATGGGTTCAAAGCCAGCTTCAGCAATGGTGAGGCTCTAAGCAACTTAGTGAGACCCCATCTCTAAATAAAATACAAAATAGGGCCGGGGATATGGCTCAGTGATTGAGGGCCCGAGTTCAATCCTGAGTACCCCCGCCAAAAAAAGAGGAGGCTGAATTTATGATTTTAAAATGGTTTAAGCAGAACTTCCAGGAGAACATACACTTCTCTGGTCATCACGTTTCCCTTATTCAAAACAAAAACATTTTGAGGGGGCTGGGGATGTGGCTCAAGCGGTAGCGCGCTCGCCTAGCATGCGTGCGGCCCGGGTTCGATCCCCAGCAGCACCACATACCAACAATGATGTTGTGTCCGCCGAGAATTAAGAAAAAATAAATAAATGTTAAAATTCTCTCTCTCTCTC